CAACAACAACAACAACAACAACAACAACAACCTAGTAGTAAATGATCCGTCCTAACCGAGCAAGGGTAAATCTATAGAATACATTCTATGCAAGAGCCTGGAAGTAACCAGAGATTACAGTACTGGTGCAGTTAATTGTCCTACAATATTTGCAGTATACATCCTCTCTTTCTCCTGAGCCAGGAATAAGGCCTTTTCCAGCCCTTAGAAATGCCATTGAAGAATCTGATAAGATCTAGATGAGACAATTCAGAAGCAAAGTGACAGATTTGACAGAAAGGAAATTGGAGGACAGCACAGACCAGGAGAAGAATTATAGTCCCTCAGGCTATAATCTAGGACTTTGTAGTTTGATCCTCTTGTGGTCATATTCCATAACAAAAGGCACAGTTGCACTAGAGTTCCTTTGAAATCATTGAGAGTACTGGCAGCATAGAGTACTACAGTCAGAATTAAACAGAATATTAATTACACAGTAAGTATTAACTAATTGCCCATAACTTCACTCAACCAAGGAAAAGGCCCTCTTTGCTTTTAAATCTCAATAGAATTCTTCACTAATTTTCTGATAAAAATACATGATATGCCTCTCCCAAAACTGGAGTAAAAATACAAATGCCTTAGCTTTTCAGCACTTAATTGTAGATACTGATGATGGTTCTGCTTGGATTGCATTGAAATGTGGTACTATGGTAAACATCAGCAGGTCAATCACTGATGGCAAATTTCATGTTATTAGTTCAGCAGGCTTTCTTTAAATCAAGGATGTACAACTGTCAGGAATTTTTAAAGGTTTATTATCTTTTACTTTTTTCAGAAATGTTCAGAAAGAAGATCGTGCTCCTATGCTTGATGAGTACAGAGAATACAAGAAAGTTAAAGCCAAACTACGACTTCTTGAAGTTCTCATCAGCAAACAAGATTCTTCAAAATAAATATAACCTATGTTTCTTCATAACAGTGAGAGGTTGTTTTCTATGCTATCTGTAATATTCTTAGGTGTTCTATTTCTGTCTTGCGTGGTTGAAATAATGCAGTTTTTGTACACTTTTATTATGGTGCCACCATTCAAGGACAAGTAAGTCCTGTCTAGAGAGCTAATGAAAAATCTTAAATTAAGACTGCTTTGTCCAACGTTAGCAAAGTTTTTTCCCCTCTCATTTTTAAATTAAAATGTGTCTTGATTCCAAAAGACTGTAGGACTAGGAACCATTCAGAAACTCTGGACCTGCCAGCTTCGTTTCATCTTCGTTTCTTAGTGTTACACTGAACTCCTCTATTGCCTTTTTATTATGGGGAACAGTGGCAGCAAATTAAAACACAACTCTGTGCATGAACACCACACTGAACTGAGATGCCTTTCAGAGGACTGTTGCAGAATAACTTGATTTCAAATGATATCTGTCATATAATAGGATGTTTTATGGCCTGTGCAGATTGAAAATTAAAGCTGTTATTTGCTCTTCAGTATCAGATGGCAATGGACAAACCAGAAAGTGACCTTGCTTGTTGTATTTTTAAAACTTGGAAAAATGAACATTTACATCACATATTGCCTACAAGACTAACATTACTGTTAATTTACCAGTTATCAGTTTATGGCTAATTGTGACTTAGTGTGCGGTTTGAATTGCATACTGCATTTTACCCTTCCATGGGAGGGGAGCGTGTTGGGGCTCCAATGTGTATGACTCAGCAGGTTTACCTGAACTCTGGTATATCTGAAATAAGTTTATCTTATCAAGGGCTAAAATTAATGTAACTGATATGATGGACCTACGGTGGACAGAGCCAGTTTTAAAAGAAGCATTTCAACTATGTCATGCTTATAGAAATGGATAGAAAAGTGGTTTAAATTTTGTGGCATTAAGCAGATATCGTAAGGTTCTTGTATGATGAAACATCAGATTTGCAACATTTTTTGTGACATTTTCTTTGCCTGGTATAGATGACACAGCAGCCTTTAATGTTTGCTTCTTTCAATCTGCATAATCTGAAGGATTGTATCTAGTCACACAAGGGAGGCACTGTCCTCACAGGATGGAGCCCTCTCCATGGCAAACGCCATGGCACAGGCATAAGCACGACATTTCAGACCATTCCAAATGCCTTGGTAGACTGAGTCCTGTCTGTGTGAATGTAAACTGGGGAGTGCAGGACTCCATTCTGGGATCCTAGTGCATTTGGCTGCTGCATCTGTGGCAAAACTAAGTGACTGGGTGCTGTTGGATATCTTTTGTATTTTGGTCTTGTTTTTGCATGTGCCTATTTGCTGCATGTTTTATGAACAACTGAGGTCAGCACCAATATTATTTCTCTCAGCTTTTTGAAAGACCAAAAAATGAACTTCTGTGATAATAAGTGGCAAGCATGTAAACTCATCAGGTTGATGTGTTAACATGAAATAGAAAGGTAGGTTGCAATACTCTGTATTTGTCTGTTTGCTACATTTCTTATTTTTTGTCTGTGATTATAGGCATGTAATTTTGGAACCCAAGAGAGCACTAAAATGAGTTTATATTCAATGCTTTACCTTTTTATACAACTAAAAGGGTGTTTTTGTGTGTGGACTGTAGTGGATTGCAAGGTTGAAAATTAATTTGGAGAACATCTGTGGCTTGTATTCAGCTTCACTGTGCAATGTACATTGTACACTTAAGTTACTTTTCTGTCTGTTTCCAAACCCCGGTGCATCTAAACATTGAAATGTATGTGTACTGTATAGTGTTGTACATGAATGTTTTATATACCACATGCAAAATGTCAATATGCACTATTTAAATGTTTTAAATAATATATTCCTCCTTTATAATGTTTAAATCTATATGATTCCAATATTTTTATAAAGTGAGTGATCAGATTGGTTCCACTTCACAATTAACAGCTGCTTTTGTGTGTGTTATGCAGTGTTTGGCTGTTTGTTCAATATCATAGCTAGCATGGCATCAGTTATGCTAAGAGTTATGCTAAGAGTGTGTGTTGTGCCATCCTTTATAAATGAGCAATAAATGGTAGTGTTAGGCATTTTGTGATATAACATAGTTTTACTTTGGTATAAGTAAAAACTATATATGTGGATATATATATATATATAAAAATATAAATATATATAAATAAACCAGATATAAATGATTGCTATGTCTGGCATTTCACTGTATAGATTTTTATAATAAAATGATCTTTTATTGTCATACTCCAGTGTGTGTTTGTGTTCTGTATGTTATTTCTGTAACTAGTTTTGAAATTTTACAATGGCACATTTCAAAAAGTCCCCCAAACTCTACTTCTGCTACTGGTATCTACCTTAATCTTCTAGTTTCAATTTAGAAAGAATCTTTTGAGTGGTCTCTTATGTTCAGTACCTTTGTAAGTTTCACTAAAAGCCCACTGTGATCAAAAATTCCTTATAAAAACTTACCTGTTTGCTCCAATTTTTCATTTTGACAGACAAAAGGTGAAAGAAAAGTTTGATGAAAAAAGGAAACACAAAAAGCCATGAAATTTTTGCGTGACCCCCTTTCATTAATATGACTCATACAAGTTTAAGAAGCTCGCTCTCTTTTAGAAATTTATGAAAGAACCCAGAAATGAAAAAGGAGACTGTTCTGTTTTTCCTTTTGTTTTAAAATGAAAGTCCACCCCTGAAATCTAGTTTGTTGCTAGCTACTTTAGTTTAAGAGGATATACAACTGGAAGGCCACAGATATTTAAGAGAATATCTGTGGTCTTCCAGTTGTATTACAACTCCCGTGATCCTATGCCAGCCCACCTAATGGTAAGGGATCATCATCCATGTACATTTGCAGGCCTTCAAGTTATCAATCTCTACCCCTCTTTCCCTGAAAATAAGACCTAACCTGAAAATAAGCCCTAGTATGATTTTTCACGATGCTCGTAATATAAGCCCTACCCCCAAAATAAGTCCCAGTTAAGTGAAACCCCACCCTCGCCATTGTTCAGCAACCTTAAGAGATAACATGACTATATTTGAATAAATGTAGATTGTTGTACAATGAAAAAAAAACCCTGAAAATAAGCCCTAATGTGTTTTTTGGAGCAAAAATTAATATTAAGACCCTGTCCTTAAAGGACTTGTACAGTAACACTGCACACTGCTTAGGGAGGATGACTTGGCTTAGAATCTAGTAGTTGAAGACAGGTGTATCACTTCTCAAACATTTACTTGCCTTATAACCAAGCCAGGTTGATCAAGGATCCTTGTGTTTTTCTGTGATTTGATTTCCCCATACTCAACCTCAAGAGAGTCTAACTTGATTTTTAGTTGAAGACACTTTGTGTGCTTGTTTCACCGTTGGCTGGCTTGTCTCAAGACCTGATGTACAGCAAGACATAATTCCTTCCAGTGAAAAAAGACTTCTGCAGGAACATAGTGGAAACCTGTAGGTGCATGCTTGAAATACAGTGGTGCCTCGCTAGAGCGACCCCACTAAACGACGAATCTGCATAACGACATTTTGCAATCGTTATAGCGATTCGCAAAACAGTGATTTCAGTGGGCAATTGTCGCTGGACGTTGATTTGGTCTGTGCTTCCCAGACCATTTGTTCGCAAGACGATGATTTCTACAGCTGATCGTCGGCTTCACAAAATGGCTGCCCTGTGTTTTCTGGACCCATGCTTTGTAGGACAGCCATTTTTACAGCTGATCGGCACTCACAGAATGGCTTCCCTATGGGCGATCTTCGCTAAACGATGAGATATTTTCCCCATTGGAACACATTAAATGGGTTTCAATTCAATCTAATGGGGAATCACATTTCGCATGACAATGATTTCGCTAAACAGCAATTTTCACAGAACGAATTATCGTCGTCATGCGGGGCACCACTGTATAGGGTCTGCTAGAGCAGGACCTGAAATACTGATCCACTGTAAAATCTTTGCTTTCCCCTTTGGTACAGAGTAAATTTACCAGCACATAAGATTTGCAAACATGCTTATTTATTCAATTTGCAGGAAGTGGATGGTCCTGATGCAGACTTTTTAATACGCAAAGTACATAGTCATGTAATCATGGTCCCTTGCAACCATTAAAATACCAGAGAGCATCCTCTTGGTATAAGGCATCACTGCAGTGAGAAGAGTATTCTTAGTAGCTGTCTCACAACTGGAACTTCTCACAGATCAAACGTCAGACCTGTATAGTACTCAGAAATGACATTTTCTTGCTGGCACTTGCATATTAAGAGACAAATGGTATTCCAAACATTGCAGATTCTTTATACTTCTAAATTCCCTGGGCCTTTAAGATGATGAAATGAATACAAAATAACCTACTTATCAAATGTTGTAATTTTCAGATAATGGGGGCAAATCTTATAGAAGTAATCTATCTGCATTACCTTATTTTCAGAGGGGAAAGAGCATCTGCCATCCACATGTGCATCCCTTTAAAAAGTAACATCTGTTCTTCATTTGAACATGCATTTGAGATGTGCATGTTTCTGATCTATGATTGCAGTACCTGACACATGTGGAAAACTCCTCCTGCATGTAGCTTCAAATGTTTCTTTCACTTTCCACCCATCTCTATAATATAGAATAGTCTACTCACTTGACAAATACAAAATTAAAAGACTTTTATTCAGTTGCCTGTAATATTTAACAGGTTTTAATGTGTTCCTACTGTAGCCAGTCTTTGACTGCAAAATATTTTTCTTCCATATCCATGAAGCGGTGCTACTGTCCAGCACTTCCGTAATAAAAACTTTGTTCATTGCCCCTTGTGTCCCATTCTTAATAATAATAATAATAATAATAATAATAATAATAATAATAATAATAATAATAATAATAATAATAATAATAATAATAATAATAATAATAATAATAATAATAATAATAATAATAATAATAATAATAATAATAATAATAATAATAATAATAATAATAATAATAATAATAATAATAATAATAATAATAATAATAATAATAATAATAATAATAATAATAATAATAATAATAATAAAAACACCAAAAGCAACTCATTTTTGTTAATTTTTTAACAAATTTTGCTTGGTTTTCCTTGGATACCATGTTTAGGATCTGTGAACCTAACTTAGGAAAACAGTCAAATGCAGAAGAAGCAGAGATAATCAAGTTCATGTTTCTTTTCTGTCCCATGTAACATACCAGTTAATATAGTTTAAGTCAGTGCTATTAACCTGGCTGTTGCAGAAAGCAACTCTTCTGTCTTAGATTCAGTTCACCAGCTATATAATAAAACAAAGGTTTATGGCTCCTAGATAACTCCATGCACAGTTTGCACAGATGCTAGCTGGGAGTCTTTTTTATCAGGAGATGGGCTGTATGCTGTTCAAAAAGTTTGTGTCTCATGAAGTGGGAATATTTTAGCTCAGGAAGGGAATTGAGTGCTTTTTGTCCCTTCATGCTCTAGAACAGGGGTCTCAAACTCAATTTACCTGGGGGCCGCTGAAGGCAGAGTCTGGGTGAGGCTGGGCCGCATCAGATTTTCTGCCAAGCGAAGCAAGAGCCCGAGGAAGCCACCCAGGAGTTTCTTTAGCCCGGCTGGGGCTCCGAGGAGGAGGAGGAGGAGGGGCACCAGCCAGGACCCCCTCCGGCTCCTTCTTCACTACCAGCAGCAGCAGCAGCAGGACGAAGAAGTGGAGAAGGGAGGGAACGGCGGCGACCGCCTAGCCGGGGGGGGGGAAGGGCACAAGATAACATTTACTCACAGAATTGGCCTTGCCAAAGGAGAAAAGCCCCCACTGCTACCCATGAAATTAAACAGAACGGGGCAGGGCCCACACAGGTGCGCACACGCACACAAACACACACACACGGAGGTCCGGCAACCTTCCTCTGAGGGCCCCCCCTCAAAAAAAGGCACACTCAGCAGCAGCAGCAGCTACCCCCACCACAACAGGGGAGCAAACTTTGCGAGGCGAGCCCAGGCCGCCTCCAGAGCCAAGGCAGCTGAAGCAGAACGAGGAGGAGGAGGAGGAAGCACCACTGGGTGCTGAGGCGGCCGCTGGCCGGGCTGGTGCTGGGGGTGCCGAGAGAGAAAGAGAGCCAGAGAGCTGCTTCCCTGGAAGAGGTGGCGGTGGCGGCAGCTGCTTTTGGCGGCTTGGGCATGCTCTTCGAGGACAGAACGTGAGTGAGCTCTGCTTGGTGGCAGCTTGGGTACTCTGGGAAAAGGCCAGGCAGTGCGCCTCGCTCACCAGCTCTCCCCCAAGACAGCGCCTCTTGCACCTTCGCAGCCTCCCAGCCAGCAGACAGGCAGGCTGGCTGGCAGGCTGCAGATCCGGATGGACGGTGCAAAAGGCACTGTCTTGGGGGAGAGCCGCTGAGCGAGGCGAGGCTTTTTTTTAACTCTTGACAGCAGAGGGCATGTGGGTGCTTCAAGGGGGCAGGCAAGGTGGGGGCCACAAACTATCATCCGGCGGGCTGCAAATGGCCCCCGGGCCGCATGTTTGAGACCCCTGCTCTAGAATGTTATGGCTGATGGCCTGTATACACTCCCAAGAGTGTGATCACATAGAAGTTAGAGGTTAGGCAATCTAGTTTCTGCAAAACCAAATACAGGCTTTGATTTCCCTGTACCATGAAAAGCTGCAAAGGTACACTTGAACAGCAAACAACATTTTATTGGTAAGTGACTTCTTCTGAGAATGAATGATGTAAACCAAATGACAAGCTCATGTAAACCATATGTGCTTGTCAGATAAGAGCTACTTCTTCCATCACTTTTAACATTTGTCTTCAATTGTAGCAAGTAAAGGAATCAAAATGCAGGTACTTCTTACTGCACTAGAATTCAGGTACACTTTCAAGAAATATTTACAAGGAAAAACATCTGATGGAAAGAGTATCCTAGCATACAGTTCAAAGACCAACTGAAAAATGGAGGAGAGAGGTTGGGCTCCTTGTGCTGTGTGGAATGGCAGAGTTTTACCCACTTGAGGGGAGGTAATGCATGTTCTTCTGAGATCCAGACTCTCCCAAAATGCTGCAATTGCTCAGGGAATAGCTAGTACATTCAAGCACATCCAGTGTCGCCCTTCAATTACACAGAAACACACAACCGGGATGCCATCTAAATATGCTTGAGATTACATGAAAGCCACAGTTGTGACCAATATTTGGGTGGTGAATTTAACATGGTCACACTTATCTTAAAGACACTTCAAAGACAGAAAGTTAAGACGAAGTTTTCTTTCTTACTACTTGGACAATAATGCAGAGTGCCACTGGTTTTGTTTCTGGGCCAGTGATTCACTCTACACGATGCAAACAATCGAATACCTCCTTTGTGGCAGAGCAGAAAGCATCCCAACTAAGGTTCAAACTAAATGTTAAAAGGTGTGTCTCCTTCCCCCTTCATGGATTGCTGCCTTGTTGTGGCGAAGGGGCTTGAGTAATTCAGAGAAGCTAGGGGCTATACCGTGCAGGGACACCCAAGATGGACAGGACATAGTGGAGAGTTCCGACTAAACGCAATCCACCTGGAGTAGGAACCGGCAATTCCACTCCAGTATCTTTGCCAAACCCCATGATCAGAAACAAAAGGCTAAAAGATATGATGCTGGAAGATGGGACCTTCAGGTTGGAAGGCGTCCAACATGCTACTGAGGAAGAGCGGAGGACAAGGACAAGTAGCTCCAGAGCTAATGAGGTGGTTGGGCCAAAGCTGAAAGGACGCTCAGCTGTGGACGTGCCTGGAAGTGAAAGGAAAGTCCAATGCTGCAAAGAAAAATACTGCACAGGAACCTGGAATGTAAGATCTATGAACCTTGGGAAGCTGGAGGTGGTCAAACAGGAGATGGCAAGAATAAACATCGACATCCTGGGCATCAGTGAACTAAAATGGACAGGAATGGGCGAATTCAGCTCAGATGATTATCATATCTACTATTGTGGGCAAGAAGCCCATAGAAGAAATGGAGTAGCCCTCACAGTCAACAAGAGTGGGAAAAGCTGTAATGGGATATAATCTCAAAAATGACAGAATGGTTTCAATATGAATCCAAGGCAGACCTTTCAACATCACAATAATCCAAGTTTATGCACCAACCACCATTGCTGAGGAGACTGAAATTGAACAATTCTATGAAGAGTTACAACACCTTCTAGAACTGACACCAAAGAAAGATGTTCTTCTCATTCTAGGGGACTGGAATGCTAAAGTAGGAACCAAAGAAAAAAAAGGAACAACAGGAAGTTTGGCCTTGGAGTTCAGAACGAAGAAGGACAAAGGCTAATAGAGTTTTGTCAAGAGAATAAGCTGGTCATCACAAACACTCTTTTCCAACAACACAAGAGGCGACTCTATACATGGAAATCACCAGATGGGCAATATCGAAATCAGATTGACTATATTCTCTGCAGCCAAAGATGGAGAAGCTCTATACAGTCAGCAAAAACAAGACCTGGAGCTGACTGCGGCTCTGATCATCAGCTTCTCATAGCAAAATTCAAGCTTAGACTGAAGAGAGTAGGAAAAACCACTGGGCCACTCAGGTATAATCTAAACCAAATCCCTTATGAATACACAGTGGAAGTAAAGAACAGATTTAAGGAACTAGATTTGGTGGACAGAGTGCCTGAAGAACTTTGGATAGAGGCTCGTAACATTGTCCAGGAGGCAGCAACAAAAACCATCCCAAAGAAAAGGAAATGCAAGAAAGCAAAGTGGCTGTCCAACGAGGCCTTAGAAATAGCAGAGAGGAGAAGGGAAACAAAATGCAAGGGAGATAGGGAAAGTTACAGAAAATTGAATGCAGACTTCCAAAGAATAGCAAGGAGAGACAAGAGGGCCTTCTTAAATGAACAATGCAAAGAAATAGAGGAAGATAACAGAAAAGGAAAGACCAGAGAGCTCTTCAGGAAAATTGGAGATATTAGAGGAACATTTTGCGCAAAGATGAACATGATAAAAGACAAAAATGGGAAGGACCTAACAGAAGCAGAAGACGTCAAGAAGAGGTGGCAAGAATACACAGAGGAATTATATCAGAAAGATGTGGATATCCCGGACAACCCAGACAATGTAGTTGCTGACCTTGAGCCAGACATCCTGGAGAGCGAAGTCAAGTGGGCCTTAGAAAGCCTGGCTAACAACAAGGCCAGTGGAGGTGATGGCATTCCAATTGAACTATTTAAAATCTTGAAAGATGATGCTGTTAAGGTGCTACATTCAATATGCCAGCAAGTTTGGAAAACTCAACAGTGGCCAGAGGATTGGAAAAGATCAGTCTACATCCCAATCCCAAAGAAAGGCAGTGCCAAAGAATGCTCCAACTACCGTACAATTGCACTCATTTCACACGCTAGCAAGGTTATGCTCAAAATCCTACAAGGTAGGCTTCAGCAGTATGTGGACCGAGAACTCCCAGAAGTACAAGCTGGATTCCGAAGAGGCAGAGGAACTCGAGACCAAATTGCTAACTTGCGCTGGATTATGGAGAAAGCCAGAGAGTTCCAGAAAAATATCTACTTCTGCTTCATTGACTATGCAAAAGCCTTTGACTGTGTGGACCACAGCAAACTATGGCAAGTTCTTAAAGAAATGGGAGTGCCTGACCACCTTATCCATCTCCTGAGAAACCTATATGTGGGACAGGAAGCAACAGTTAGAACTGGTCATGGAACAACTGAGTGGTTCAAAATTGGGAAAGGAGTACGGCAAGGCTGTATATTGTCCCCCAGCTTATTTAACTTATATGCAGAATACATCATGCGGAAGGCTGGACTGGAAGAAACCCAAGCCGGAATTAAGATTGCCGGAAGAAATATCAACAACCTCCGATATGCAGATGATACCACTCTGATGGCAGAAAGTGAGGAGGAATTAAAGAACCTTGTAATGAGAGTGAAAGAGGAAAGTGCAAAAAACGGTCTGAAACTCAACATCAAAAAAACTAAGATCATGGCCACTGGTCCCATCACCTCCTGGGAAATAGAAGGGGAAGATATGGAGGCAGTGTCAAATTTTATCTTCCTGGGCTCCATGATCACTGCAGATGGAGACAGCAGCCCTGAAATTAAAAGACGCCTTCTTCTTGGGAGGAAAGCGATGACAAATCTGGACAGCATCGTGAAAAGCAGAGAC